CCCCAAAAACCCGGTTCCCTGCCAGCGTTAGCCAGTCTGCACCCAGTAACGCCATCTCACGCCTGCCATGGCATCTGAACTGCAGCTTTACGTCCTGCAGTGGGTTTGAACCTATTTTCAGTATTGGATATGACTAGCAAATCTGAACTATCTGTATTTTGAGCTATTTTCTATTTTGGTGATAAGTTTCAGTGCTTTCTCTACATATAGTATTTTATATAATACAGGTGTATATATATATATTTACAGGATTGGGCTGCCCAGGGCAGTCTCACCAATATCTTGTAGAAATATTTCATTAAATATTAAATATATTTAATTATTTTATATGCTATGAGTTTGGCATTTTGGTACTTCTTTCTGTGCTTATTACTGTGCTAAATGTCAAATCTAAATAAAGTTACATTGTTATTACTGTTTATTTGCTTGTACCCTGGACATGCTGATTATTTGTTTTCACTGCACTTCTCTACTGAGAACAGGAGTTTATTTCATTCTTTACTCAGGGAGGGTTACATGGTGCTTCTATGCTTATCAGGAGTTGCTATCAAACCATAGAGAGAGTGGCAGTGGAGATGCACTAACTGGGCAGGATAAAAGGCATTTGGCACTTGTGGCAAAATGTGAGCATTTGAAATCCCAGCCTTTTGTTGATCTCTCTCGTACATACGAGAAATTATCCTTTTACCCACTCAAAGTCCCACAGCAAAAACCTTTGGTGGAGCAGCAATACTCCAAGCCCAGTAAAAGTGGCTCCCAGCGCTCGGCTGCCTTTCTCTGAGCATGGAAAGAACCAGCAATAAAGTGGAGAAAAAAAGAGGAGGATGAATGTACAGGCCAAAATAACTTCCCACACTTCCTGGAGCTGCTGCAGGTTGCTAGACTTACTCAGATTACTCCTGAGGCTAGAGAGCAGAGTCCTAGCACATGGAAATGAAAAATCAATGGGGAGAATTTCAACCTTTCTGCGCAGAGCTAGGCTAGCCCTGGTGCTGGTGGCTTTTCAGAGGTGGCTTCTGTGAGCAAGATGCTCTATAAGACGGGACAGCTGCTGTAGGAGATGGAGGCTTGCCTCAGTGCAGAGGAATTACAGACCATGGGAACTAGCATCAGATCTCTGTATCTACACAAGAACTTGCACGGCCACAGATGTAAATGGTAAAGCAGCTGAGTGTTGCAGAGCAGCTCAGCAAGCCCTGGGTGCTTGCTCCTGCTTATTTCCAGCACAGACACGTGCCTACGCACCTTTGTCAACCTCTCCCCAGTGCAGGTTTGCCGGTAGCCTGGGTATGGTCCCATAACCAAGGGAACTGCTGTCTTTTTGCAGGTGGCTGGGAGCAGAGAAGAGGGAAATACTTGAAATTACCTGGGCTGAGGACTAGGGAGATAAAAAGGCAGCTGCCAGCAGATGTTGTGAGAAGTCCCTGGGATGGCAGAGGGTTCTGTGGGATGACTTGTGCCCCAGCTGATGAATGCTGCAGATAAACACCTCACAGGTGAGGACAAACATAACCCCCCCAAACAGTCCAAGGGAAAGTGAGCCAGCTGCTCTCTGGCTAAAGGGCTCCCCAGCACTATCACTTGTGCTCATGTAGTTGGCAAAGCACAGTGGGACAGAACACCTTTGTGCCCTCAAAAGTCTTGTTTTCCTTTTGGTCATGCCTAAAGAGATGAAGCACACAAACAGGAAGATATTAACAGAACCCTTAGTGGGTCCATTGCAGCACTTCAAAAGCTAGTGGGACATGCAGGATCTTAATGCTTGGGCTCTTGCAATTAAGGTGGCCCTTGAGATGAAGACATCAATGCTTGCTGAAAACTGTAGAGTGAGGAGTGGTGGGGAGTGACTGTCAGGCTTCCACTTCATGTCCGTATTTCATTGTAAGTGAGGTACCCAAAGCCACGCAGTCAGGCAGTAGCAGAGAAGGAGCACCCCAGGGCTGTGGAGCAGGGCTCTCACTGTGACCCCACCACCTTCCTCCCCACATGGTCCAAGAAGCTACCGAGCTGACTGTCCAGTTTAACTCCTTCTGGGCTGGTCACTTTGCAGCAGCACTGGTGCTGATTTGAGTGGAAAGTCAAA